AAAGAATATCTCAAGGAGGGAGGTAGAGATTCGATGTTGCTTGGTGCAACAATCAACGGATAGGAGCAGAAGATGAGTGGCCAAGATAGGGCCGTGGAATCCCTTGGAAGGAATCCAAGTGACAAAGTTAAGCGAGGAACACTAATGTGTTGGACGCTAATAAATTGCGGAAAAGGAAGTGTGTTTCCAAGGATGGATTCCGAATTGCTCCGATTTGGCGAAAGTGGAAGCTCCAAGAGAGGGAGCGGTAAGGTAGCCAAATGATGGGCGATGGACAACCCTAGCACAAGGTGTGATAAATGGAACTTAGTGCCCAAGGTGGCACGAAATAGAAGAGAGGATGATGGTGCCCTCAAGTAATGAACTTCCTAGGATAGGGAAGTGGAGTTGCACAATCTGTGCAATGCAAGGTGTTGGAGACACCTAGGAAATTGACTTCCAAAAGTCAAAAGAGTAAAAGTTCCAAGGTGCAAACATTCAATAGATGGAAATTGAGACTACTCGAGAAGGAGTAGTGGGATTGACTTAGAGAAGGGTCTCTAAGAGGTTTAGCAAGAACTAAACCAATAAAAGGAGAGAACCACTACATGTGGTCCAATAAGTCTCTAAGTTGGAGAGACTACCCTCCTTAGAGGATAGGCAAGGCATGGTGAGCCTTTGGTGTTAAACCATTGAGCATATACAACTAAATGACTCAAATCTATCATAGAAAACTACTAGCTAGGATTCTAGCTCCATTGGAAAAAAATAGATTAAAATAAATATAAAATAATTCCTAAAGAATTTTTTTTTTAGCAAACTTTTTTGTGATTCCTTTAGATATTACAATAATTTTTGAAATGAATAGTTTTAAATATTTTATGATATAGTTGTAAACCTTTATACGAATGATGGAGAGAGTAGTTTTTGGAATAATGTTTAGTGCTAATAAGTTAAAAGCATATTAAGAGCATAAACTAATACTAATACTATTTTAAAAGATTTTATAAGAAAAAAATAGAATAAACCAATTTTCATAATTATTAATCAAAAGTAACTCTTTTATATTTCTAATTTGCAAAAATTGTATTGAGTCTATGCATGACATGGAAGCCCACTTTACCCACTTTACCCAATTGGAAATTATTATTTAGAGGATTCTCCACTACACTATATGAGAAAAAAGATTGTCCACTCACATTCAAGCATAAAGCAATTGTTAAGTATAGTGTAATGTTTGTGTGTATTTAGAGAAAGAAGTGCTCCACCAAGGAGAAGAACAATGACTTGATTTACAAGAAAAGAGTATATTTGTTTGGAAAGTGTATGATTATTTTGGTTTACCCTTTATCAGAGAGATTAAAGTAGGTTCTGATTTACTGGGAATGTAGTTTAGCTTTCAAAGTTTCTACAGATAGGTGCTTATCCATTACATTACATAAAAGTGCACCCAGTCTGGGAAACATTGAGTGAACGTGAAGTCATTGCTCTTGGCATGGTAATGGTTTGAAGTTTCTTTCTGTAGCCTCTTACAAAGAACTTTCAACTTGTCCAAGTTTGATACTTATGTCAGCACTTGGGCTCTTAATGTTCCTAGAAGATTCTCATGCAACTAAATTCAACAGGTGGTAAAGATCATTTGGAGAAAAAACTGTATACCTCTAAGTCAGTGATAGACCTTGCTATGAGTGCCACAGTCTATGCTCTGATCCCTTACATAGCATTTCTTACACGGTCTTGATTGTGTCTGTAGAAAAATCTGGGATTCTAGATCAATTTGTCTCTACAGAAAAACAACCTTGCTGCTAGGACAAAAAAAAAAAAAAAAACCAACCACCAGATGGTTCTTCCAGGGCTTTTTGAGGGAAATAATAGTTCTTAGCTTCATTAATGCATTGTGTAGAGATGGGATATAAAAACAATAATTGATGTTATTATTTGTCTGTTTTGTAGCAAATGAATGTCAGACTTTGAGCGCAAGAAACTTGCCTGGTTGGCTCTGTTGTGCTCATTTGTGTGAGTCTCAAAGAGAGAGAGAAGTGAGTTTATAGGTCGCTGCAATTTTCTTCTGTCATGCCACATCCATAGAGAGATGAAATTTATGTGGAGATGCAGCAGCTGGACATGCAAATGAAAGGTACCTCTAAGACATCAAAGTGGACGGCATTTTTTGGATAAACAAGAAACAGATGTGCCACCTCCAATGCCAGAGCTGCGAACCGAATCGTCTTGGTCCATCAACCTTGAGGCACGACTGAATTGCCTGTGCAATGTAGGAAAGACATTGGAAAGGAGACAAGGGCTTGTTAGCCAGGAGCCTTTATCGTGTATACAATGATGGCCAGCTGATAATCCGGTTGGCAATAGGTTCAATGTACTTAGTTTAGCCTCCAAAACATTCTTGCAAGTTAAGCAAGAACCCAAGTTTGCCATACGAAGATCCCGCCAAGAACTGAGTAGCAAAGATGTGGTCCACATTTGCTCAGATTCTCAATGAATTCCACAAGACAATGTGGGAATCATCAAGCTTGTATAAGCCCATGCTCACCATTTGCATTTAATCTACTTTCTACATTGAAGATCCACCGAAAGCCATGTTTGCTTGAGGTTCTTTCTCTTGTTGTCTCACATCTTGTACAAAAGCTTGGAGATGGTGACGATCATGTGATATGGTGCTCAGCCAATGACACACACTTAGCAAAGATGCAAGCTCCACTTTGTTGCCAGGGGAGAAGATTCGACAATGCTGGAGAAGGATCATATCAGTGCTTTATTCATTCTATGCATTTTTCTGCCCAGCTTTTCCTGCATTTTGAATCAATTTGAGTGATTGATGAACTTGAAAAGCAAATGAAGAATCTCAGATACAAACAAATCAAGTTTATTATTCATACTTTGAATATATTTTGTCATAATTTAAAACAAAGTTATAACATAATTCGATCATATATAATTTTATTGTTATTTTAATATTTACATAATATAATATAAATATTATAGAGGTAAACATAATTTATAGATTATAAATATTCTAAATTAAATTATATATTTTGTGAATATACTTTAATCATAATAATTGGGAAACTTATTGTGACAGTGAATTAGTATGTAGTGAAGGAAAGTGACTTTGAGCTTGAACTGAGTAGTGGGCTTGTACTTGGCCTTCTTGACAGAAATGTTACTGTTATGTGTGTAGGTCAGAGTGCTCACTTAGAGCGAAGAGGAAAAGACATTAGCTATTTTTTTGTAGCCAGTCAAGGGCAGGAGACACCTTATAAATAATGTAGTATTACAACACAAATACAATTAAATCTGGCGCCACTTCACTTAATTTGTCCTCAGACATGTAAATATGGCCATGGCCACTATTCTTTGCTTGTCTTTCTTAGTTCTCTCTTTCTCTGCAAGTTGGTGAAGTTGGATTGGATCCTACCTAGTGTGTCACAATAATTGATACACGTCCATGGGTGTGACAATGCTCCTCATCTCCAGACTAATTGGATTTGTACAGCACCGTGCCCCTGTAGAGAAATGCATGGTCATCACCACCACTTCTAGAGCTGCTGCTCTGGATCACCGCCACCACGTTGAAGCTCACCTTGCCACTGGGTTGAGCAGAAATGGCTCCAAAGTGATAGAGCAAACCAGTGACCTCATCAATCTCTGCTGCTTGTGGGTGATGGCTGACCCTGCAAGATCTTCGTCCCTGTCCCTTGCACTGCCCTTCTCACCTGGCCGCTACATACATGTGACTGATCCCAAACTCCTAGTGGAGAATTCTCATGGCCTTGAGATCTTCTTGCTGGTGGTGGTGGTGGTGCTGCTGCTGCTGTGATTCTGACTCCAAATTTCCTCTCTCTCTCTCTCTCTCTCTCTCTCTCTCCAGCCACTGTTGTCGTTTATCAGATAGCGATATATAGTGGTGCTCAAATTTTGTATCCTGGATCCACATGAGAATGAAAGAGCAAGACTTACCTGTAGCATTAAGTCATCTCTACCATTGGGACTTGTAGATAGCCTTTCTGTCACCATACTACTGTAAAAAACTGTGACAAAATCATACCCCAACCGAAGAATTTCCTCTAGCTTTGATAGCAAAACTTACAAAGCACTATAATTACCTGTATCCCAAGATATTCACTGACTTTCTCCAAAAAGAATAGATATCAAAGGTTCCACTCTGTAATCAGGATGAAAGGATAAATGTAAATGCTGCTCACACAAAAGTATATTGATACCTGTAGGTGACAGGATCATATGGGTGAAATATGTTTATCATTTGCCTGGATGCTAGCTTCTTTTCTTCAATGCCTTCATCTTGCCAGTCATGACCTGTTGTTATGCATTCCAAGTACACATTCCAAGTATACATTCCAGAGACTCAGAAACAGTGGTGATACAACTGTGAAAAAAGTGAGAAAGAAACTTATCAACAGTGAAGAATCAAGGAGCTTGCTCTCCTTGTTTCATTCCCAATGCTGTGCAGTGACACGAGAGAGAGTCAAACATGAAACCCACAGATATGAACAGCCATCATCATCATACTCCCTTATTTAAACGTGCTATTGGCATATGGCATCCGGCGTCTTTTATTCCATTTTTAGAATATTATTTCTGAATATACTTATAATCTAACGGTTCAAATTCAAAAACTTGAAATAAATGGCATAGATCAAGTGCCAAAGGGGTAGCAACGCTTCAATGTGATTTTAATGACGCTCCAAATCAAGTGAAATTTTTTAGGGCGATCGGGCAGATTGGGGCAAACATGGGGCGAGAGGAGCATCGCTGCAAAAAGAGCATGGATGCTGCCATCCTCGAGGACCGGGCCTTCATCCAGAACGAGGCCAAGGAGAAAATGGGAGGAGTAAACAGGTGGCGTTCCTGTGTCACAGACATCGAGTCCCACGAGTGACTCTGGTTTCGGCTGGATGTGTTTGTGTCGAATCAAGAGCAGGTGATGGAGCGGCCACTGCTCAATCTCATGATGAAGTACGCCTACACCACGACTTGGCTGTGGGACGCTCCTGCCATGCTATAAGTTGGTACATGGAAGGTAAACTTCACTGGATTCCACTTCAGCCTCCATTGTTTGTTCTTGTAGATGGGGAAGATCTCCAAGAATTGGCTGCAATGTCTTCAAATTCCAGTGCCCTGGATTGAGTTGGCCATTGCGTACTATTCTGCTGTCAAAAGGATCATCCTATAGAGGCGAGAACTGGCTGGTTCACAAATTTTGTGATTTACAACTGTTTTACAGTTTTGGAGCCAATTGAAATATCCAGTGTTTTTAATGAGAGCTGATGCATCCCCAAACGGAGATTGTAAGGTGTTGCTGTTTTCCTGGATGGAAACTCTTCCGTCGTAGCATCCAGTTGGGACTTGGTAATACTTTTCTCTCCATCTTAGAACTTGATAAAAGATGCTAAACTTACCATGACGGTTGAATCTCTGGCAGCTATGGCAAGAGTGTCAGCGCAGGAGACAACACCAGGACAAAAATGAAGCTCTTGGCAGACATGAGGCTTGGAAGGGACAACTTTTACACTTTACTTCCATCAGTCGAGAAGAACCGATCCATCACAGTCCTGAAGAACAGCAAAGTTAGAAGACAAGAATTTAAATCTTGCAAAGCTACTCCTGTCGATGAAACAGTCGTGGAAGTGCAAGCGAAGAACTCCTGCTGGTATCGTCCTGTCCCAATCGGTGTGCTTGCTCAGAGTGTCCCTGATGATTCTCTTGGCTTGAGGACAGGATCTCGAGTAACTGTGGTAGCCATTCTTGTATCCTCCACTCTCATCATGATCCAAAACACTAGCTCAGAGACAGCAGAAGCAAAACCAAAATGTTCCCTCTCCAACTTCCCATCCTCAGGTATTGCAGGTTGGCATGTCTTCTTCCTCCTCGAATTTTCTTGGCAGTAATCGATGATCTGAAGATGAGAGTCGTTCCGTGATGAAGTGGGTCACTGATACAAGGCTCTTATAGTCCAGGTTAAGCCGTCACAAACCGTGTCTGCTGCCTCTAATGAGTGTTTCCATGCTTAAGAAATCCTTTGACATCATCCAAATCCAGGGAAGCTAGCGCTCATAGTTTGACAAAGTTGAACCTCTGCACAAGAAATAGGAAAATTCAGCCAACTAAAGAAAGGTTCTGAAAGGACATATGTCTGTAGGCCGCATTTTCTATTCCATTTCCAAGCTTTCACTTTGTTCTGTTTCTTAAGATTTTTGCTTTTTCTTCTTCTTCACGATGTTCTGCCCTTCTTTTTCTTCTTGTTTTCCTTCTTTTGGTATATGACGCTCAATGGTCAATGCTAAAAGTATAATGGGTAACGAGATATGGGTCCGACGAGCTTGCCAAGCTTCAAATCTTCATTGTCGTCCATTACTTCTTTGCTGGCTATAGGTGAATATTTATTATTAGTGCTATTATTACTTTATCTGGTGTTTGTAGGAGGACTGCCTTGGATCCCAACAGCACAGTTTCTTGCCACAACAGAGGCCATGAGTTTTCAAATCTGTAAGAGTTTAAAAAGTTTTGTAATTATAAAAGAAAAAAGTACTATACTGAACTGTACCTTGATCTTAGTGAATCAAAATAGCTTTTTCTCCTGGCTATGGAATGGGCACTTATTTTTGTTCTCTACCTACCCGCTTTATTCCTATCTTGCAGTACTATTATAGCAGAGACTCCAGCTCTGCTGGAATATAAATTGATACCAGAGCATTGATGAGCATCCTGCAGCTCAGCCAGAACTTTTTTTTTTGTCAAGGATATTTCACCTTATGATATGTTTGACTTTGCAGGTTGAGCTTGATTCCGAAGGAGCACATATGTACAATGCTGCTGTTGCTCTTCGCGACACTATGATCGAGCTTGAGGTCGCAATAGAAGGTGGAAAGGACAGCTTGTCAATGGCTGCTCAAGCAGGTGGTGAAACTGTCAAGGCACCTGGGAATCTCGTCATTAGTACACCAAACAGTTCTCTTTTCTCGTGAGCTTACATTCTTCCTTTTTTCTTCCAAAAGGTACTCCGACACTAGAGCATACCGTCAATCCAAGCTCGCAAACATCTTCCACGCCAAAGAACTGGCAATGAGATTCAAGGTATTCGTCTAATGCTTTGAAATCTCTCCCGCCTTTCTCTTTCGTCAATGCTTTCTCTTTCACTGATTAAGCCGAAGGAGTTGACATCACAGCCAACGCTGTTCATCCAGGGTTTATAATGACACCTTTGATGCGGTACACATTCTACATAATGAGTTTGTCTCTTTGCCTTGTCATTGTTTTTGGTTACTTATGGAACTTTGATCTTCATGCAGGGGTTCTCAAGTTCTTCTCCAGCTTCCTTTGGAAAAATGTGCCATAGGTAAGAAGAATTCTCCCAATAATCTGGAAGTTTTTTGTGACTAATATGTGATCGATCTCTCAGGGCGCTGCTACAACGTGATACGTGGCTTTACATCCAAGCCTCAAGGACGTCACTGGGCAATACTTCGTGGATTCCAACAAATCCAACTGTAGCGCTTATGGCAGAGATCCCGAGCTCGCTCACAAGCTATGGACCTTCTCCCAGGAGTTTATAGACAAGCATTCTCCATCCTAAAGGTAAAAGGTTGATGGTGCTAGAGAGTGAGCGAGCAAACGAGGACAACTCGGCAATGATTTGTGGATAGACTGTATTTACTCTTCTCGAAAGCTCGAGCTCGAGCTTGATCAAAAGTAAGACGCGTTGCCTACATTGCACATGACTAAAACTTTGGTTTCGAGCATGTTGTCCATCGCGTACTTGACACCCTCTCGTTGGATTCCAGAGTCTTTGATCCCACCATATGGCTGGCTATCAACGCACATGCTTGGCGAATCGTTGAGGCAAACTCCTCCAGCCTGTGAGGATCAAATAATTATCAAACAGTTGATCAATACTTTCTATATCTCAAATGCAAAGCTACCTCTATATGCTGAAATGCATAGAAGGCCTTGTTTAGATCACACGTAAAGACGCCGGCTTGGAGACTGTGATGCGTGTTGTTAGCTTCCATCACGGCTTCCTTGAAATCACTGCGTCACCACCGTTTAAGTTTAGAGAAAAACAAAGGAAGTAAAGAAGAACTTCAGTGGCTAAGAAACTTTGAGAGCTGACTTGTATGAGTAGAGAAGGATCACAGGACCGAAAATCTCTTCCTTCCTTCTGTCCGTGTCAAAGGGAGCATCTTCCAGGATCATTGGCTCCATGAAAGCTCCCTTTGCTTACCACCAACTAGAAGTTTGGTGCCTGCCTTCACTGCCTCGTTCACGCTCTTCTCCACTATAGCTGCTGATGACTCGGATATCATGGGCCCAATTGACGTGTCATCTTGGTGATCTCCACCTTTGAGTTTCTTAACAGCAGCGATCAATGCATCGTTCACCTACACAACCAGCACCAAATACGTTAGATCAAAGCTCGATTTGTGAACAAAGAATATAATAGAATTTAAAGACAAGTGTCGAATACCTCACCTTTCACCTAAAGACGCTGCATGTGAATGCACAACTGGCCACTCTGATAGAATCCCTCATGGACCAACCTAGCGATTGTACCTTCCAAGTCTGGAATGAGAACTTCCACTAAGCATGGAGCATTGCCTCCCAGCTCCATAACCACCTCTAAGAGGAATCAAAGAAGTTGAAGAAAGTGAAGCTCCAATCGAAGGAAGATATAATTAAATATCATTATATTTTAGTATGAATAATTTTCTAAACCAATTTTAGTCTTAAAGATTAGCATTTTCTACAACATCGATCTTACAACTGATATAAATCCCAGCTGAAAATATGTTTCTTTTTTAATAATTTTATTTAAAAAAAGTTTTTATATTTTATGTAGATAATGGTATTATATAGTATTTAATAAATACAAAAATTTCTTACAGTTAGACAGAAGCAGTGGTTCTTGCAATATAAAATATATTTTAATTATTCATGTATATAGTATTATTTTAGATCTAATTATATAATTTTTAGTTTTATGTACAATAAAATCTAGGTTTGAAAAATCTAATTTAAAATACAAGAGAATGATGAAGTAGAGTGGATAAAATAAATTTTTTAAACAATATTTAAAAAATTAAATCTTATTATGAATATAATAATGTTATTTTTTATGTTAATTGCTAACATTTCCTACTAGATTGATTTACTGGTAGTATTGTGTAACTAATTGTAATCAATAGTGGTATACTTTCATTAACAACAATTCAATCCTAGAAAAAATCAAATACAGCTTCTTTACAAAACATAAACAAACTAAACCCACTATGAAGGAAATCCTTCAAACTTTTTCATCATAATAATTTTATTTTTATTTCCAAACTATTATAATCTAATTATTTATTTTAATCTTATATTTTACTTCAATATCTATAAAAACAATTACATGCTTTTGTTATATATGCTAAGTCCACTTATAATATAAATATATTCCCACCTTCTTCAAATATATATATAAAAATATTTTTCTCAAACGAAATTATATGATACTCCTAAAAGTTTGTATTTAGGACTTTTGAACAAGGTGTGTTATTTAGAATTTTTATTTTTTAACTCCAAGAGATGTAAATAGTGGCAAAAAAAATTAAGTGTTATAGATGGGTTTTACAAGATGACAAATATATTAAAAAAAAACTGAAAGGTGGATTTGAATGTTAATAAAAAAAATATTTAGACTATATATATTTTAGTTTAAAACCAGATAGTGGAGTATTTGAAGCAAGTAATAAAATAAAAGAGTGTTATTGTTATGAAATATAAATTAGTAATTATATTAGAAACTAATTTATCTTTTCTATACAGAGAATGAACTTAACATGAATATACTTAAAGAAAATGAAAAAAATGTCATTAGTTATGGAGGATTTTTATAATTGTAAATAATTTTAAAAATCATATTTAGTCAACAAGAGTAGAGTTTTCTACAACATTCATTTTAAAATTAATATAAATTATAAGAGTAAATATTATTTTTATAAATGTTTTGATAAGTAGATGCTACATTTGTGTTATAAAACAATAATACATTTTATATTATTTCAATCATAGAATAAATGTTATTAAAGTTTTATTATATATTAGTATGATATCTAATTATATAATTTTTTTAAGTTGTTTAAAATTCAAGGATAAAAAATTTATGTTTTAATAAAATAAAGTAAAGAATAAAAAGCAATGGTAGCACTTTACTCACAAATGGCAAACTTAATACTACAATATTTTTCTCTAAATTAGAAATATAAATTGAAATAGTGAATTCCTAAATTTTTCTTATATAATACATAATACATATGAATATTAATATTTTCATAGTAATGTGTTAGATCCATGTTTATGTTTAAAACAATAATAATTTTATAAGCTATATTAATATGTGATCATGTTCACCTTTATATAATTGCTTATTAGTGAGTAGTGTTGAATAAGTTAATAGTAATTTATTTTTTATTGGAGTCCATAGCTTTATCATAAAGCATTATTACAGTTTTTTGTTAAGATGAACATTATATCTACTTTAAGTATATTTTTAAATGTAAAAACAAATATATAATAGAAATTTTATTATTCTTTAGTAAACTATGCAATTTAGAGGCAATATTACAGTTAAGTAAAAATTAATGTTAAAGGTATTATTACAGTTCAGATAAAAACACTTTAGCTCAATATGCAATCAAAATTATAATTTCCCAAAATTAACCTATTATGTTTTGTTAGTATACATTTTTTTTTAATGAGCATTTAATTTATTTTAAATCATGGCAGCAATCTTGTAAATGTGTTAAGGTTTTTGTACTTTTTTATAAAGGCAATAGAAGAATTCAATTTCGAATTTAGTGATGATTAAAATATGATCTTATCTTCCCAAACATTTGCATCATTATCTAATTGCATTATTTTCCATTTCTCTGCAGATGAATAGTTGCAAAATTAAGATAAATTTAACCTTGCATACAATCAAAATTTATAACATTGAACAATTAAAAATGAAGATCTATTTATCTTGGGTATGATATATCTCCCTGAAAATAT